CGGCAAATATAAGTATTTCTGTTGCATGATATTGTCTAGCGATATCGATACCAAAGTGCGAAAAAGTCAAGCATGAAAATGTTTCTGGAAGATGAAGAGTATATGGAACTCAAGAACAATTCCAATCCAGTCTAAAGTAAACATCTTTGAAGCTTGAAGTCTCTCAATATTGTTATATGGTTGTGAAATTAGGTTCAGCACAAAGTAAACTCAAAAACATTCGAAAGAGCTTTGCTACTAGTTGTTATAGAATAATGCTTAACATCAAGAAAAGCTTAAGTTTTTATGTAAACCACGAATAACATCAGGATTAAATCAAAGGTGAAGTAGCACTCTCAGTAATCGATAGCTTTGGATGAATATATTTTACCTTTGATAGATAAAATAATCTTTTGTAATTCAATTTATGTAAAAACGCAAGCTGTTCATACTTTTTATCACCATAGTGAAACGTCATGATTCATCCTTGTTCGATTAATCATTTCCTTTAGTGTGAAAAAGACAATTACATCTTACACATATTGACCTTTTTCTTTTGATGTTACTTGATCTTTACTTTTGAAACTCTGAACATATTGCAATAGAGGATTATCTTAACTAAATACAGTAAGCATCAAAGTTACAAATCGTTTGTTACTTAAATTTCCTTCTACGTCATTTGATGGCCCAATATCGTTGATAATACGTTTGTATTGGTCGCTAAATCATTGGATAGAACTCCCGGTTATACTATATACATTACATGCTGAGAAGGCTCTATTGATTTCTGTTCATGATCATTTTTACTTGAATTACGAATATGAGAATAAAATGATGTTGCAAGTTTATCATAACGATCACGAGAACGTTTTTATTGTTGTTTCACTCGCTATAGAGACCATTGTATGACGTTTTATAAAACAATTTTACCATTTGCATGATAGTGATTCATATTTTAATAAGATACGTAATTTGCCATCTTGAGATTAAAGCTGTTTGAATGTAGCTTTCTTCATGTCCAATATTTTAAACAGAAGTGATAAAATTTAGATTCATTTTACGTCAACATTTCTGGAACCAAGTTATAACTCTTAAATCAAGATCAACATCTTTCAATTTCGTACCAGTACATTTAATAGAATTTTATTCATCGTATATGCAATGAAAAACACTACTATTCGAAGAGCTTGATAAAAATTGTCTATGAATTGAAAAACATAAGTTTACAGCTACAGGTCACAAAAGACATAAAAGCTAACCTTTTTTATTTTTCAAAATATCGATTAATTCGTATTTGCCTTTGCATTGTTTTAGTAATTGAGCTGTTGTAAAACCATGATCAACAGAAGTTCGATGTATACTACCATTATATTTAAGTGTAACTAAAGCAGTAAGCTTTTCCTTTATAGATCATTGCCGAGGTTTACGTTTTGCTATTTCTTTCATTTTATTACTAGCCTAACTAATTGTATTAGTTGTCACCGTTGATAAATGAGATGATGAAGAAGTCACAGATATGTTTAATGAATGATATTCAGTTAGATTATCATCATCTGAGACATCAGAATTAGATGTGAAACGGGTGTCATTATCACTACCATCGATTTCTGATTTTCTTTATCAGAACTAAACGTTAAATATTTGATCATATCAACAATTTGATTTTCTTCGTTACTCATATTTGAAATCACTTCGATGATTCATTGGATCTATGATCGAAATCATTATTATTATTCAAGATAAAACTATATATATATTTTGTCATGTGTGATTGATCGATATTTTATTCGTTATCTATTCCAGTTAGAAATCTATTCATTATACTTTTCTTCTTCTTTTTTCAGTCGGAAAGAATATAAGAAAAATTATTTGTCTCTCTTGCTATTCTTTCATAGATGTTAGTGTCACATGTTATTATATTTCATTTATTCTGCTTATCATATTACTTATAAGAAATATTTGCCTCATAAAGTGTGTCAAGAAAAACTTTATACACGAGGTTTACTTAAAGATACACGAACAGCGCAAGACAAAGATTTTTGTCAAATAAGACGACTCAAATCTTGTAATAAACTTTTCAAGCTGTCTGCCCAAGTAGTCTTTCATCGCAAGAAGAGAGGGAATACAGATTTTATCATGTGTATATCATTATATTGCACGTTTCACAGTAATTTCTTCACCAAAAGTTGAAATATAGCCGATATACGAATGTTTCATCTATTTGATTGATGCTTCAACTTTTTGTTAGACTGTAACGGAGAATTTTAGTATTCCAGTCGGACTTCGGCTTTAGCTGTGCTGACTTCCATATATCTTTTGTAAAATGTTTAGAGGTTTTGGCAAAACAGTCGGAAAATGTGCAATAGAATAGTGCTCATGATGCATGTTCATTCACAATAACACCGTTATACCGCAGTACTGGTAGAAAACGGACTGTATACTAACGATCTACTGGTAATAGCGCTTACAATCTTCGGTTTCAACTATAAACGGTTGCAAAGAGTGTTTCCTACCCCAATTAGAGCTGTTTATTAGAAAGAATTCAAATTCATCGAGAAAAAGAAAATAGTTTCAACTTAGATTTTACTGACCAAAACTTTTGTAGCATCATTTCTGATAAAAAAAAATTATTTCAGAACTAACGTCAATCAAGCTCTGTGACTAATATCGGTGGCTCAGACGCATCAAAAGTATCAGAGCGCATCGAAAACAACACAATGCTGCCAGTTTTAACAGACTTCACAAATATTCATCAGTTTTGAAACAATACACCATGACACATCACTTTCAAAAAGATCTCCGGTAGACCAGCACTGTAGCACACATTATATCAATCGTTATACCGGCAGAGTTTGTCCGATTCTAACCATTTGGGTGTATATGTAATAAGTAAGTGATGTCGACAAACAAATAGAAAAGGACCTGCAGGAAAAATATGCATTTTACATCTATAAAGCATAGCGTAAAAGGCGCATATTCGAACATCTTTTTGTACTTATAGTGAAAAAAAGAAAGCGTTTCAACACATTTGAAAGAATGCCTTTGAAGTTTAGACAAAGCATGAGTGCTGAAAACAAAAAGTGTACAGGGAAACTTGTGAAATTTGTTTTTGTGAATAAATCATGAAGATTGCATTTCACAAAAATTTCTATATATTTCGAGAATCCGACACGAATAAATCTTCAAAAATCTTATCTTTTTAATACTGACAACTTCCATTATCCACAAACTTATTTGATATAAAATCTATTATTTTTATTATTTAAAATCACAAGTCTATTACTTGATTTTCTTCTAGAATAATATTTTTGTCTACCATGTAGAACAATCGTTGATATGGTCATTCATTCTGAAACAATTTCTTGAAGAGTAGTTTGTATTCCGTTGATATGTTTTTTATCTGCCTTTTACTTCATAATGGTTGTCGTTAACATATCTCATACAGAAGAGAACAGAAAAATGTTTTGCATTATTTTCCGTTGGGTTGCGATTCTGTGCCTCATTCTTATAGATATGTAACATGTTATATAGTGCTACTAGCATTTTCTTTCCATTCTTTGCTGGTATCATTGGTGGATGGGTGGAAACGAATCAATATTTTTCTCTTAGCCTCCTTCTGCTGTCAAAACTGGTTTTAGTAAAATGAAAGTAAATTGGATTGGCCATTCAATGTGTCAAGATGTTTTTCTTTTTTTTTATGTTCATTTCAGCAGAAAAGCAATAAACATGTCTGTTTGACTTCATTTTCTTTTAGATGTCAAGTTTTTCGCATACTTTCACTCGACTTTTACTCTCCAGATTTACTTGTCTGTCTTCATCGTCGCGAAACGAACATAGAGTTCTTAACAAAAGAAAAAAATGTCGTACGTCTGTATACACTTCATTTGAACAATTACCAAATGAGTTACTCTTAGAAATTTTTAATTATTTTACTCTGTTCGATATTTATACCTTATTCTATGATCTAAATACACGTTTCAATCAGTTGATTGTTTTCTCATGCATACGAGGTTTTGCTATTCATTCGATTAGAGAAAATAATCTTTATCTCAAATCCATTCTGCCTGATATTCCTCCATGGCAGATTAATACACTTAAATTATGGCACAATAGTTCATACGAACAATTACTCAATAAATTGCCAGTTAATTTATATTATGTACATACTTTAGTATTGAAACGACTAAAAAATCTTTCATTTCATCAATGCAGAGAGCTGATTAAACATTTCAAATGCTTAGAAACATTATCTATGATTGATTTTCATACGGCTAAAATTGATTGGCTTGATGATAATAATTGGAAAAATCTTATCGATATTGATTTACCTCATCTTCGTTATCTTGACGTACGCATTTCTGTTATCTATCATAAGCAAATATATGATGATGACAAGGACAATATTATTTATAGTTTCACATCCCGTTATGGTCGGCCTACCTATCGTATATATACAGGCAGTTTATTGAAGAGAGATCCAATCTTGGAAATATGTTTGACTATTGATCAAGTATTTCCTTTACGATGATATTCGGCAATCACACAATCTTTTGTAAATATATGTATGAATATATATATATATATTGTATTTTCATGTGCTTTTTGTTTTGCAAATATGAAAATTCTGTATTTATGCATGCTATTTGTCGGTGTAGTCGATGTTGTTTTTTATCATCCTGTAAGTGGAATTATACCTTTACACTCAATATTTATGTTGATGAGAATGATCGTACTATCTGATTCAAAATAAAAACTTTCATCACTGATCAATGAATTTAAAGTGATACAAGTTTAGAAGGTTTTCAATCATCTTTATTCTGGCTATCGAAAATATCTCATGTGGATGTATGTATTGTACTTGTATGCCTATATATAACGGTTGTTATTGTATATGCGATGAGTCTGTAGTATCGCATCTGAATATAATCGAGTATCGATTTCGCAGATCTGATTTTATTATTATGTTTTTATTTTTACAACGTGAAGATCGAACATCACTAGTTAGAGAGTGATTGAAAGATTTAAGTGATAAAAACTTTGTCGTATTTTGATTTCAGATTACCTTCTCTGTCTTTAAGAAATTCAACAAGTTCTGGACCATATTGTTCAAATGGTTTCAATTTTTCCTTTTCATATGTTGAACGAGTATCAGTTGAAGTTGTGTTTTGTAATTGTTCACTTAAAAGCCGATAAAATACACTGTTTGGATCATTAGTCATTTGTAGACTGCCTTCATCAACTCGCAAGTGTCTACGTTCAGTTTTGCCAGTTGGAAGTTTTCTACTGAGGTCATCAACATGCTGAGCACTGAACACAACAGGACGGCCGCGTAGTGATGTCGTAAATGCTGAGTGTGGCAATATTTTACAAGGAATAGGCGTATTTGTTTTAGAAGAGACTTGTTTGGTATCGGGCTGATTCATTCCTAAAATTCAAATACTCACTTACTGTTTGGTACATAAACATTTTTCAATGTTTATATATTTTCATGATTAAAAGTACTTTTTCTAACTTCTATATTGTATGTGCTGAATAACAAATATGTATAAGTTATCGCATACGCTCAATCTTATTTTATCGTACTAGAAATGGATAAGTCAAATCGAAAGAGCTTATATAACTCACTAAATATCAAATGTTAAATAGAAGATAAAAAAACATATCTCTCAAAATAGATATTGCTATAGATTATTAATGATATTTTAAGTGATAGAGATATTTTTAGAAAGTTGTATTATGATAGCAAAACACTACTAGAGTGGTCTCGCTGAACTGATTTTTCAAAATTTTGACTAGTTAATAGTACAAACTGAAAATGTTCATCACTAGTTATATTCTTTATTCATCTTTTCCATTCGCATGGAATAGTCTCTCTATTAAAATTTACCTGTTACTTACTTTAATATTATAGATACAGAAAATAAATTTTTTTTTTGTCGAATTTTAATGCATAACAGTATGTCGGGAAAACACAATCCTTTTCTTCTATTTCCAATCATTGTTGCATGTTTTATCGCCGATTATTTCTTCGCTTTCCGAGAGCATTTAATAAATTTGATGCATGCTATTTTCTTTTCATATAATTTATAAAATAAGAAAAAACTAAGGTTATTTCTTCTTCATCTCATTCATCAACATTAAGTAAATGTTTATTGAAACTAATTAGTTATATTTGTCAATTCAGATTCCATTTTTTTTCTCAAGAATAACTCAAATTTCTTTCGGCATTCATACGAAATTTCTTTTTTTACATTTTCGGATCAAAAGACGTATACTGAATTGATACAGTCCAGCTCTTCAGATATAATCAAAGTCCAACTTTCATTCTTGTTCTTATTTTATGCATAAAAATATAAGTTTTTTCCCAAAGGATTCAAAACCGATAGGAAACATTTATCTTTCTTTGTTTGTTAAAGTATAAAGACAGATTTTACTTGTTATAAAACACATGAAAGATAAAACATAAATATATTTTCAATATTAATGTAAAATTATTTGGACTAAGAAGAGAAAATGTAACAATAATTGTTTATCTTATTGTCTACAGTATAGTACACGATTGATCATTTATTTTAACTTGTGTTGCTTGATTGCATGCATTGTGACATTCTATGCTACAGCAATATGTACAACACATTGGTGCGCCACCTTCAATATGACCTGAACCACAATAAGATAACCAAAACATGTGAAAAAGCATTAAAAAATTTTGAAACCAAAGCAATGCTTTGCTCAGACAATATCGATAAATATTCATAGGATTCCAAGCACCGGAACATGATGAAAATTTATACGATAACGTACATGGAGCTAACAGGATGCTTATAATGAAAACAATAATGAAAATGATGGATGCTATAGAATACATACATATGTCAAGAGCAAAAGCAATAGGTAACATAAGAATCCATAAAGGAAAACAGAAGAATGAACATACGATTGAATAGCAATGTGAATATCGTTGTAGCCAACGAATTGTGGACATTGTACATGATACACACAAAACACGGGCATTATTGATGTCATTTTCCAGTCGAGTCCGAAGATAATCTTCAATTAATTGTTTATCTTCCATTTCGAAGAAAGAGTTTAATAATAAGATCTTATGTTCGTCTACATACTTTATATATTGTCACCGTGCCTATATATGTTGCTACGTGGCATACCACAAGCACATGCATCTTATCTGTTATTTTTATTATGAATCATCGAAATAAATAAGAGGCAGTTGCACATCAAATGACTGCAAAGTAAATGATATGCTTAGAAGCACTTATATATTGACATATATGATTCAACTTAGTCCCTATGTATTCTAACCTATAAATATCAAATAAGACATGAAATTCAATGTCTGATAAAATTTTCGATGAAATCACTACTGATTATATCGAAATAATCGATAATAAATAATGCTATTGAGTGCATTAGATTCTTTGCTCTTCTATTTTCATTTTTATTGATAGGTTAGATGATTTTTACACCTTTTACAATTCAATACTTTTACAAATACAGATACCAATAGACGTTTGATTCTTCTTTTTGATTCACTATCTTCTTTGAACATTGTGTAGGCGTGCCTGTAAATATTCACGTTGATTTGGGTGTAGTTGCAGGTTGACTGTAGTTTTTCTATCTATCCAAACCATAACCACACTCATCCACAAACGTTTGCACTTAAACTCGTAAAACAAAACTTGCGAACTGTTTGCAGACATGAATAAATATAAATAGTCAAGGATTTTCAATAGATCTTACGTATAATCGCATCTTTCTTATCAATAACAAATTTTTATAGGATTTTCTAGATTTATTTGATTCTGTGTTTCTTCGTAGTTTTTTTCTGAAACTAAATGATCTTTTTGTTTTAATAAAATAATTGAAACTTTTTGACATAATCTTCATCCGGATTATATATATATAAATCTCTTCTTCTTTTTGATCGAGATTTTTCGATAAAAATCATGTTATAAGATTAATAAATGATTGAAAAGTTATATTTTCACATTGAATTCGTATGAAATTTAATAAATCGATACTAGACTGTCTTTTTGTAGTTAATTGATTTCATCGAAATATTCATGTCATATGTGTAGTTTATTTTCATGATCATGTCATTAGAAATTACATAATAACAAAATACATTGACAGGATATCAATTATAATCGTTATCAGTGTCACATAGAACTAACAGCTGAATATTTTGAAGGATAATTTTCTTGGCAGGATGACATGTAACAATTCCATTAGAAAATTTGTCTAATAATATTTTGTCATTTAATGATATTATTAGTTTTCTTACATTAAACAACTTCATCAAGTCTGCTGTTATCGAATTTTCCTCGAAAGTTTTAATTGTAAGACGAATAAAAAACCAACTATTTTGTATTAACTTAGAAAAGTATAATAAGATAGAGTATGAATTGATACATTCGAAAAACATTTTATCGATGTCTACTTCTAAGAAATACTATTTCAAAAAGTTTATTAACATTATTAATATTTGATGTTAATTATATGAACTCATTTTCTGATAGAAATCTGTTCAAATGATCTACTGTGACTTTGTATCTTTTTTAATTAAATATATAATACAATGTTTTTTGTGTGTTAGCATGGCAAACACAATTCACGATCGATTATATGATCGAAAATGGTGAAGCTAGCTAATTTAAAAAAGATTCTAATACAATAGAAATTGAAGGAATTTTACTGGAGTATAATATAAATAACAAAGTCTGTATAACTGATAACAACATCTTAATATATCATCAAGTACCATACCTTAATTACTTGATTTCGTAACTTGATCTAATAAGCATGCTTCTTGCTTTCACGTTGAATGCAAAAAAAATCATGTACTATGATAGGTAAAGTAGTCATTTTTCAACTTCTATTGATATCAATTATAGTCAAAAGCATTCGTATGTTTGACTTGGTGAAACTTTTCAAAAAGCTTTTTTTTTTATGTGAACTCATAATATGAATAGTTTGTAATTCTTTTAAAAAGCCTATACTGCTGGAACAATCATCTATTTACTTTGTCTATGTTTAAACGGACAAATTGTAATGATATAATGAAGGCGGAAGACTAAAAAAGTCTTATACGGCATTAACAACTGATTACTAATCCTTTTTTTTTAGCAAGAAAAGACAGAATTCTGTTCGACAAATTGTTTTTTCTTTATATATCTAATTGGATGCTTGGTACACTTTCATTTATATGTGAAAGTGAATAAAACCTATTTTAAATTGATATGTTATTTGATGTTTCTATGTTCATATTGGATTCAATTTTATATTTTTCAGCAAAAAAATGTAATTGTTATTCTACTTTGTTGCATAGATAAAAATCAGATATTAGTGATTATTCAGTTTGATTAAACCAAACTACGTCGTGTTGTTTGTTCAGAGATCTAAATGTTTCAAATCTACTATCTATCTTTTACATATGACAATAATAAAACTAACAGATGAATTCTTCTTCGATTGTGCTACTCAAAGTAATGTCACATGAAATATTCTTTTTCAAATGCAACTAGAATTCTAGTGATAGAAGTCGATTATTGTCTCGATACTTATTTTTGGAAATCGCTTTTTTTTTCTAAATTTTAATGATCTTGATGATGTTCTGGTGCTATGAAGCATGAAGATAAATTAACCGTAGTAATAAATTTGTCTTTTGAATTCGATATAATCAAAAATTTCTTAGAGTTTTCGGATAAAAAATAGTTAAAATATAATCAACAACTGTTTGAAATATCTCTTGCATTTGTAAATAAGTCAAATATTGACACTTGATTATGTTAATAAAATGGAATCAAAAGTTCTAATAAATATCTTTCAACAATTTGAAATTTTCAGTAATTTTTCTAGATCTTTGTTGTCAAAACAATTAAAAAAAACTAATATTTATGCGAATATAAATATCATTTTCAAGATAATTACGTTTCAAGTGCAATCATATTTTTGTTGTTCACTTTCTTTTGTGTTCACTAATATTAGCTATCATTGCCAACGAAATCATAAATAAAAATGTCTCAAGTTATTTTCAATATCTTTTATTTATTTAGAAACTCGATGCTGAACAACATATTTACATGAATCACTTCTATAATTGAAAAAAAAACAACTACAAGCTGTTTAACATCAATTAAAAAGCGCTTCTATCTAATGAACTAATCGTTAATGATTTTACTAACAGATTAAATATAGATATCTAGATATAAATGTAAATTAAGTAAAATGCAAGAGATGACGTGACATACAACAGAGACTCGTTCTACAAGATCAATTTTTCGTTGTATAAAATTTGATTTTTATTGGGTACTAAGAAAAATTAATTCTGAATATTTTTATCATATGTTTTTATATGTCAAATTCTGAAATTCTATCTATGATATACGATCAAAAAATAGTAGTATATTGTTTTTAGAGATTCTATGCTTGAAATTTCAATATTTTAAATAAAAGATTTGAAATTGAGAACGATTTAGTTTTTTTATCATTCATAGGATTCTGTGTCGTTTTCTTTATGTTTGAAATAAAACGTATGCTCTATATAAATATTTATAAAAAATAACATAGAAATTAATATAATTATTTACATGAAAGCTATTTCTATTGCAAAAAAGAAAAGTTATTATATTCTTATGTTCAGACTCACTCTCTAACTCTTAATAACTATTACATCACATATTCATGTATACATCACTGAACAATCGATTCAATTATTCAATAGTTTAATAACAATGATCGTCATGCTTAAAATCATCCACAGGTCAAAAAAAAACATATTCGTAAACTACCATCAGTCACAGTACAATGACGTGTTACATGACGCAATTTTACGGTTGTATTTCTCCGTATCTCATATCCGAAGAAATACGATCGTTGACGAAATTCTAATACAAAGATAGTATACAACCTCCACTTTACTTAGTATCTGGCCCTGAACGATCGTATTTCTCCATATCGCATACAAAGAAGTACGATCGTAATACTGAGCCATGTAATAAACCAATATATGATCATATATAGTGGAATAGCAAATGTATAGAATCGTTTTACAGTGCATACGAGTTTCGTATACTTCATTTTGGGATATAACTCCTTGGTTAACTTGAAATCTAATGTATATGAGTGCTCTGTTTTTTCATTCCGCACAGTCATTCCTATCAGATGGTAACTATGTTACAGATAGACACAGGTAAATTTTTGTATCTAGATCTTATCCTTTCAATTTAGGGAATATTTCATAATTAATTATAATAAATCTAAAAAGTGAACATTGTTTTCAGATTTTAATGATGATTGTCTGAAAACGATATTACCATAAGGTACACATTGTGAATCAGCAGAGAATGTTGATATTGAAAAATTATTTTCTTCAAGATATTTATTTTGTATGATTATTGTTTCAACAACATATTTTTTTTCTCATTCAGATAATAGATAAAAAATTTTCGATATCTAAGAAATTTTTATTATGACTATTCTCTGTTGAAAAACATTCAGTTAGCAAATCAGAATCGCATTCTTGATCATAAACTAATTAAAACTTTATTTTCTTCTGAACTGTATGAATTTGAATGAGCATATAAAATGAAATGTTCTAATCGAGTTTAACTATATCTCAAAACATCTGTTATCATTAACAACTTTGCTATGTTAATCTAGATATTAATTCCTTGAAAACAAAAATATGTTTTTCAGTATGATTTATAGCAGTTTATTCCTAATAAGGATTAAACTGAATTGACACTTCTTTAAGGTACACCAAGGTATTATACTGAATAGATGATTCCTTCTAAAGATAAAAGTCAAATTAACAAATTTTTATTTAACAATACTTAGTTTAAGTAAAATAATACCTTTTGTATCGTTTTTATTTTAAACTGAACTCTTTTTTAAATAGAAACTAAAAATAACAGCTATATGGATTTTCAAAAGAAAAAGCTTAATCAAAGAAAAAGCAAAGAGTAATGATTTTTGTATGTTTTATTGAATTAATTTCATTTCATCTATGAGAAATTTTAAAACATTAAATTCTATTTACCTTGTATTCTCAACAATATCATCAGACTTTCTTTTAATATAATAAGCAAATAAGAATAATAATATTTGCAAATGTATTATTCTCTACACTATCAGAATGTGTTATTTATAATTATATTTTTATTTATTCTGTCAATAATCTTATAGTTAGATTCATTACACTATTTACTCATATGATCAAACAAATTTATATTTCTTTTCAAACATTCAACTATTGTAGCATATAGATTCTCGAAAATTACTTTTTATCATCAATTCATTTTACTAAATGATTAAGTTGTTAAATACTTCACTATAGTCGGATCATCAATAATAAATTATCTCTACTTGATTTTTCACTTGATAATTTGATTTACAAAAATTTCTAGGCTAAACAAGAATGTTTATTTGATAGTGATAAAAACTCTTTTTTTTTGTTTTCTTATTAAATATACATATCGTTCAAATAAAAGAAACACTGATTAACTATTTGTATCATAGAAATGAAAATTGATATTGGTTATTGATATTAGTTATTTTATTTAGAAAAAAAAAAAAAATTTCGAATACGAAAGGAAAAATCAATCTTTCTTGTTACAATAATTATATCTAATAAGCAAGATAGTGCATGAAAAATTTCGCGTATTATTTCGAAGCAAAGTTTTTAATGATATTAAAGACTTTTAATTTGATCAATATAAATAAAAATTGAACTTCGACAATGACTTTCATCATCCATCGTATGACTACTCGATGGAAGACTTCTATCTAAAATAAAAATAAAATATAGAAAATAAAAAGTAAAATAATTCCTAACCATCATAAGCAATAAATCTTTGTGGACTGGAAGGTGGTTGATGAACTTGACAATCATGATATAATGAACTAGTAACATTTTCCGTTCCAGAACTCATTGATAACAATTGATTATTATCTTGATCGTTGCATGACATATATCGGTCAATTCTATCATATATTCTCAAATAAATAAACACAAGTAGATATTCGTCGACTTACGAAGTACTGACATTATCTCTCTTATCAGCATCAATTAAAGAATAATCACCATTAATATGAATAATTCGTTGGTTAATAGGTATACTTACTTTACCTGAAAACGATGGTATGCTATGCAATCTTGTCTAGTTTTTTCTTTGTACAAATAAATAATTTAGATAATTAAATTTTAACTCACCAATTCATTTTTATCATTTTCTGATTCTACTCGATTCATTTGATTGATTATTGTTGTCGGCCATTTAATCTCACTAAATATTTATAAAATTAAACATTAATCATGCGAACAAAAACACATACGTAAACATTCGTTTTCGATAAATAAATTCGACTATTGAATCAGAAATTTTATTTGAATTTTCATCAAATTTTCCATCTAATTATCATTAACGAACAATATTTCAATATTGTATCAAAAAAAAAAGAAATTACGCACAAATTAAATCACGTACACAAAGACGTATTTCTTGATTATTGTACCGAACAATAATCTAATAATATAAATTAGAAGTTTTACCAAATAACTAAAACTAAAAAAGATTTCTTTACTTTTTGAGCTTTAACAAAAGTTTCTCCATTATATTGTTTAAGAAAAGCATAAGCTGCTTCACTTGCATTAAATTTTGCAATATTAAATTTCTTAATACGACGAATTTGCCATTGATGAAAAGAAAAACGTTGACTAGAAGAATATTTTACTTTTCTTTTTCGTTATACACAAAACTTATTAAATAATACAAACCGATCGAGAATTTCAAGAATAATTTTTTCTATATACTTTGATGGCTCACTTTCATCCATCTTGTATGTAAAAAGAAAATTTTTTCTTAGACATGATCAGAAGTTACGCTTATCATTATATGTGTACGTGATAGAATGATGATTCTTTCCTCATTCATCAAATAGAATTGATAATGTAAACGAATTAATTTTAGCTATATCACATACTGCATTCCGAAAGTAAATGGTTTAGATAATGATTATAATATTGTTTTCAATAAATCATATTGATTGAAATTTAAACTAAATATTTATTCGATTAGAAGAATAACGGCAATGAATATAAAAATGGTAGAGAAAACTGAGCAGGTGACAATATTTATCTTATCATTCGTTTGTTGACGATAGACTTTCTTTGACTAAATAACTTCTTTTTTTGAAAAAAGAAGGCCAAATATAAAAATAGCGCTTGTTACATTTTAAATCTTTTGAAAACAAAAAATAAATCAATAAAATGAAGATATTTCTTGTATTATTTTGTCAATGTTTTGTTATTTTAAATAAATGAACATTAAATAAGACGCATTGGTCATTGTTGTTTTTTTTTTCATACAGAAGAGAAAAGACACACAAATACGGAGAGAAACAATGTAAAATTCGTTAATAAACTGTCACTGTTTTTTAATGCAGCTAACACATGTAAAGATAAATGAACCAAGAACAAGAACAAAAAGAAAAAAAGAAATCATACTCGGAAATAGTCGAGCAATCATTTTATATATATATATATTTATATTTATAGATATATATATTGATTTAAAAATATGTTTTTCTCCGTTAATGACAAATGAATATTTTATATTTCATTCATTGTTTGTTGTTTTTCGTTTTTGTGCACATGTTTGTCCATAAACATGTCGCCATTGATTTGCCAATAATTGATATAAAGAATCTAAAGTTTCAAGTTCTGTTCGAAGTTCACGTGCATCTGTTTGACCGGGTGTTGTCAATGAAGATGAAAGTGTTCCACTAGAATTCGTATGTACAATTGAACAATCAGAAGAGATTATATTCGATGTGATTAAAAATGAAATAAAATGAAGAAATAAACTGTTCAAATGTGGATGTAATTGTAATTCAATTAATTGACGATAATGAACAGCATATAAATGTGCAATAGCATGATATATTAGACGAACCATTTTACGTACAAGTGAATCAAAATATAAAGGAAATTGTTGATCTGAGACAAAAAGAAACAAAAAAAAATTTTAATTCAGATTTTTTTTTTGTTCTAAATTATTTTACCAAGTCTTGTAGGAAATATTGTTTCATCGGAAAGTGTTTTTTGTATAAACATCATTGAAAGGTCAATATATTGTGGTGCGGAATATTTTACTTTTTTATTTCGTTCATCAAGCCATAAATACGAACTATGAATATTATTAAAGTTTTTTTTTAATAATAAAAATTAAATAGATAAAGAAAAAAAACATCAAACCTGTTCTGAGGACCGGTCATTACTGGACACGTTGTTAGTGTACAAAAGTCACACATTGCATTGTACAAAGCGTTCACATGGTTGAAAAAAGCAACAACTATAACAAAAAAAAGATAAATAAAATAGTAATTTATTTTATCTCGAAAAAATATTTTCCTTTAAATAATTAAAAAAAAGAAAAATAAAACTACGAACTATTATTTGCAATCCATTCATTTTTATCTACACCATTAGGTTGTCGAATTAATTCATGAATATTACATTCAGCAATTGATCGTGTAAATACAGCATATTCGGGTTGAAGATAAAGTAAACCACTATTGATTGAAGAATTTAATGAATTTGATTGAGTTGGAGTTATTGATGAGATAAAAGATTGATTAGGATTTTCATTAGAATTTGTTATTGTAACATTTGGTGGATCACTCGGAGGTGGTGATGATTCTTTAACTGTTGGACCAGCTCCTTCGTTTTTTCGACGTTGTTTCCTTTAAATTAAAAATCGATATTATTTTAAAGTATAAATATAAATAATATTTACGTAAAAATGGAGCCTAAATGAAGAGAAAGGGCACGCATCGATTATTTCATACATATAAAAAAAAAAAGATATGTAAACTAGTCACGGCCCATTGCCCTACATGTTTTACTCATTTACTTTTTTTTTTCATTTTTTATTCACCTATAACTGATCCAACATCAGTAATTTTTGGTTTTTTTTTTTTATCAGTCAAAACTCATCTATACTGCCACTCTGTGCTTTGCCTTATTTTGCGTAATTAATATAAAAAAAAAGCACATACATCTTTCATCGAAAAATGTTCATTTATTTTTATCTAATATTAAAACAACGAACAACTAATAACTTACATATGTCGATGATTTGTCACTTTTGATAATATATTCGGACATAAAAAATGTATGTGTTGAAATCTATTGAGAATTGTTTCTCGACTAATGAACCTGACCATTTTTAACGTCTTTTTATGTATCGATAAAAAGTAAAAAATGCATTAGAAAATAAAAAGCTGGTTACGCATCAACGAATTTTCTTCATCTTTTCTCATGACTAATATTTGACAATGTACAAGGTTTTTCTGAATTATGTGTCATAGGATTTTTCGTCTTCTTTTTTTTTTTGTTAACTACTACCTACCTCCACTGAAAAAATAATATATGAAATAAATTTGATATTGGATTACTCCAAAAAGATTTTTCCGAATCTAAAACATTTGCACTCGAATGTAATTGCATCGTTGTTGTATCTATGTGATAATATTACTGAATTTTTGTTTATCTTTTTTTTTGTTTCTGTCAACTCTTCATTAGAAGTATAAATATAACTTGTTATTATCTACTCAGACTATGAATCATTATCGGTAAATATTAACTTGTGCGACTCTACGGTTACGTCAAATAAAAACAATTCTTACCGAAATAAATTGTTCATTATTTAATAATTTATAACGACAGGAAAGAAAAAAAATTGCATATAGAAAGACAGATTTCTTTTTTTTTTTTCTTTTTTGTTTTTGATAAATCGAACTTTGAACTTGTGTGATAAAAATTAACTATAAAAATGCTCACTATGTTAAAGAAGAAATGCTTATCATCTTCTTCTGTTGCAACATTATTTGAGATGTAATGCATGTCATAACACATGCAACGTAAACCATAGACATCTCGCAAAAAAAAAAAAAAATCCCCAAAAAAAATGTTTTTTAGGGGGGCGCAGTTTTTTTTTTTTTTTTTTTTTGTCTCTTTCTTTTTTCTATATATTCATTGGTTTGAATAAGAATGATTCAAATATTAAAAAAAAAAAAAAAGAAAAATAAATTAATCAAACATATGATCGATAAATGTAAGAAGAAAAAAATGAAACCATTTTACACCTGTTTGTAACCAATTTCTTGTTAAAAATTAATAGTTCGAAAACGAAATATTATTTTTATTTTCTCTCTTTTGTTTTGAGAACTTTATATTACTTTTCTCATGACTTTTTTAAACTTGATCTCTTAACGTCAATAAAAAAAAAAAAAAATCCATTTGTTATGATCATACGGTGAATGCAATATTAATATCTCTATAGACAATAATAACAAAACTCAAGAGTATAATATTAAGCTTTTATTTGTTCATAAGATATCAATAATAAGGAAAAAAAAGACAAATGTTTTCACTTTTTTTATGATTATGAAAGGTCCAAAAAGAAAAAAAAGAAAATTATCCATCTATTTTAAATATTTATCAATAAATGGTCATCTGTTTAGTTAAGAATAACGTACCAGAGTGGAAAGACGAACATAGTAAATGAAGAGACGACGACACTTCGCCTCCAGATGGTTCCTTCTGTTTCTCTTCTCTTTATTCTCACAGTTCTCTTCAAGCTTCCGTTTTTTATGATGTCATTATTTTGCAAATGCTGCTGTTTCTCGCTTTTTACTCTCGTTCTGTTTCTCATTGCTATACCGATTCTCGCTGCTCGATCAACAACACACTTTACAATGGTAACAGGTAGAGCGAGAATGAGAGAGAGAGAGAGAAAAAGAGAGAAAGGGGGAAAAGATTTGCTTCCACTAGGATTTGACAACGAATAACGATTAAACAACATACGAAGCACGTTATGAAGGTCAATCGATTTGATCGTTGTCGTCCACTATTCTGTTGCCGTAATCTCTCTAGATGGCTTAGGTCGTCTGCTCTTCTTTTGTGGACATACGAAATACACAAAGGGATTGAGCAACAACCAACATCAATCTTCGTTTTTTTTTTTTCTTTCTTAAGAAACTTTTTATTAAAAGCAAAAAAGAAAAAACAGAAAACCTATTTTTTTTTTCTTCTTTCTTCCAATCGTATTAATATTAGATTAGGGTTCAAAATGAGAAAAACATAATCGTTTATATTTATCTCATAACTAATGCAAATCCTAAAAATAAATTTCTTTTCTATAGAAATAATTACAATTGATCAATATGATACGTGAAGAAAACATTTTTCTTTTATTGGAATTCAAAAAAAAAAATAATAACTTACGTATTAGATGAAGCAGAAGTGAATATAAATGACAAGCTAAGAATACCCATGGTCTAGTAAAATGTTGACATCAGTATGGTCTCATTCTCCCGTCGATCGTTTCTCCGTATTTCTTTAATACCTCGCACGAGCTTCTCTCTTCAAGTGAGAAAAAGAACAAGAGAACATGACGACGTTACAACAACGGAAGAAGAAAAAAGAAAAAGAGAATCAATCAAAACAAACATAGCACAATCACGCCACTATTCCCTTGATGGTGACACATTGATACACACAATCGAAATTCAACTCAATGTCCATATTTGAACTGTCATATTCACGGTTAATGTTATTTTTTATTAAACAATAATCAAATATCGATTTCTTCTCTTTGAACTCATTATGATTTCTAACTTTATCTTTAATTTTCAATTATTTATTTAAACTATTAATTTAATTCTATTAAAACTTGATCAATAAGATAATAAAGTAAAAAGGCCAATGACCTTCTCTTTAAAAGACAGATAGACACGCCTTATGAAAACAAATAGAAAAGAAGCAAGGTTAT